AGGATCCATTACATTCACTCACTTGGGAAAGGTATGACTCCTCTTCTTCTCCTCCATCTATGGGTAAATAATAGGACAGACCAGGTTCTATAGTCTTGGGTGGCAACCATTCTATGAGAAGGAAAACTCTGAATTCAAGCGGCCTGAAGAGGTTTGAGCTCCACCAGGCTGTCTGGCACAAGAAACACGACGTGCCCCTAATGAGTCCCGAGATCATAAAACGATGCCAGTACACGCAAAATATTACCTTTCTTTCAATCCACAGATGTTCGCGTTGAATATTGTTGTACGCAACCAACTTTTTAATCACCTTTAATAAATCATTTAAGGAACAGATAGTTTTTTTTTTAAAGCATTTCACCCCAAGCAAGGCGGGAAGCCACTAGGACGCAAGGGGTTACAGAAAGTTTAGAGCAAGATCAGATAGGAGTGATAGAAGAAAGGATGAGGGTAGTGGATAGGTCAAGGAAACTGGAGATGTCGATTGACATTACACTTGAATAGCTGGAGATTATAGCTCACAGGGAAACAGGAATTGGGAAGGGAGTGAGACATGAAGCTATTGGAGTAGAAGAGACGGCTACATTTAGGAGTTTCGACAGTGAAGGGGTGAGGGCGGGATGCCAGCCTCGTATGGGGCTTGAACTCATGAAGTCTGGGAACCAGCGAATGCAGCTCCTCGGAGCAATTTCCATGAAAGTATTTGTAGAACAGACAGAGGGAGGCGACGGCGCGTAGGATACATTCGTCATTACAATTGTGTCCCCCGCAACAGGAATTATTAACAGGAAGTTATATTATATATATTCTATATAGTAAAATGATAACTTCTCATCTCATAAATCAAACAGTATGAAGTCATCTTGATAACATCGTAATGATGTGGTAAGAAATGCAAAATCTCGAAAAATACACTAATATCTTTTAGGACCGCAGTCAAAAAGATATATGCGTTAGTTAATGTGTTGATGCGACCTTGTGGTCCCCAGTAAGATAGTAGGATCAGGTATATGCTATTGCTCGACAAGAACGGCAAAGCGCCGCCATGGATATGACAAAATGACACAATAACAGAATCATAGTTTCCACAAGAAAATTGACACATAATGATGGTCTCAGAGACTTCTTCTATGTGCCATAATCCTTTTGTACAATGGCGATCATGGTCCTCCACGATTTTCTATTCTTTAGTAGCTTTTATTAAATTTTGTCTTTTTGCTATATCTCGTAAATCCTGTTTTGCCATCCATTTACAAAATCTTGTTAGGTAAATTATACGTTGTTGTGTTTGTTTTCTTCAAGTTGTCCTGTAAGTATCAAATTCCGCTTTCCTTTTTATGTGCTCTCGAAATATTAACTAAGTGTGTCTTTGTTTCAATTTTCTGTAAAAAGTTCGTCCTTGCTCATATGTTTAGTTATTGTTAGTCTCAGAATTCTTCTGTAAAATCATATTTATGTGAAGTCTCTTCTTCATCTGCGAGGAGATCGTCCACCATTCACTGACAGAGGACAGATATTACATTTCAGTATCATTTCTTTCGTTTCTAAACAAATTTCCTGTTTCTTAATACTATACTTAACGTTTTTCTAAAGCATATTTCTCTGTCCCAATGCCTCTCCAGATTTTCGTGTTGCAAGGGAAGAAAAACGAAAGTAAATCTTGTAGAAAATAAATAAATAGATGAATAAACAAATAAAAAAGTAAGGAAATTAGATGCATAATTAAATAGATAAATAAATATATAAAAAAGACAAGGATTGAAGAAGAGAGATCAGGAAAGAAAGAGAAAGAAAGAAAAAAGAAAGAAAGAAAGAGTGAAAGAAAGAATGAATGAACGAAAGAAAGAAAGAAAGAAAGAGTGAATGAACGAAAGAAAAAAAGAAAGAAAGAAAGAAAGAAAGAGTGAAAGAAAGAAAGAAAGAAAGAAAGAAAGAAAGAAAAAGAGTGAATGAAAAAAAGAAAGAAAGAAAGAAAGAAAGAAAGAAAGAAAGAAAGAAAGAGGCAGGACGTATTCAAAGGAGGATGGACACAAGAAATGAAAGAGACAAAAATAAAAAAGGGATAAAAGAAATAATGAAAGAAGAAAGATAAGAAACGAGAAGGAAGGAAGGAAGGAAGGAAGGAAGGAAAGGAAAAGTTGAGATAAAAATGAAGTCAAGGAACAAAGGATGGACAGGAAAAAGAATCAAGAAACAGAAAGAAAGAAAGACAAAAAAAGAAAAAAAACGAATAAAAAAGAAAGAAAAGAAAGAGGAAAAAGAAAAAAGAAAGAAAAAAGAAAAGAAAGAAAGAAAGAAAGAAAGAAAGAAAAAGAAAGAAAGAAAGAAAGAAAGAAAGAAAGGAAAGGAAAGAAAGAGGAAAGAAAAAAGAAAGAAAGAAAGGAAAGAAAGAAAAAAGAAAGAAAGAGGAAAGAAAGAAAAAAAAGAAAAGAGTGAAAGAAAGAAAAAAAAGAAAGAAAGAAAGAAAGAGTGAAAGAAAGAAAGGAAAAGAAAGAGGACGAAAGAAAGAAAGAAAAGAAAGAAAAAAGAAAGAAAAAAAAAGAAAGAATGAATGAAAGAAAGAAAAAAGAAAGAAAAAAAGAAATGAAAGAAAAAAAAAAAAGAAAGAAAGAAAGAAAGAAAAAAGAAAGAAAGAAAGAAAAGAAAAGAAAGAAAAAAGATGCAGGACGTATTCAAAGGAGGATGGACAAAGAAATGAAAGAGACAAAAAAAAAAAAGGGATAAAAAAAAATAATGAAAAAAAGAAAGATATGAAAGAAACAAGGAAGGAAGGGAAGGAAGGAAGAATCAAGGAAGGAAGGAAAAAGGAAAAGGAAGATAAAAATGAAGTCAAGGAATGAAGGAGATGAGGAAAATAATAAAAGCCAAAAAAAAAGAAAAGAAAGAAAAAGAAAGAAAGAAAGAAAGAAAGAAAGAAAGAAAGGAAACAGATTAGAAAAAAGAATCAAGGAAGGCTGGACACAGGGGTGAATCACGGAATAAAAGACATGGAAGGAAAAGAAAGAATGAAGGAGATGAGGAAGATATAAAGAAACAAGGAAAGAATGAAAAAGAGAAAAAAAAGAAAGAAAGAAAGTAAGAGAAAGATGAACGCAAGGAACGACGGTGAAAAGGAAGTAAGGCTTACAAGAAGAAGAAAGAAAAAAAAGAAAGAAAGAAAGAAAGAAAGGAAGCGAATTAGGTAAGAAGTATTCAAGGCGGGCACAGGGAAGAAGAGAAGGAACGAATAAGAGACAAGTAAGGAAAGAAGGAACGAAAGAAAGAAAAAATGTTTCTAGCTAGAAAGAAAGAAAGAGAGAAAGAAAGAAAGATGATAATTAGAAAGAAAAAGAGAGCCAAAAGTAAAAAAGAAAATATACTAAAAAATTGAGAAGGAAATGACAAGTAGAAATGTATAAAAATAGAAATAAATAAAAGAGAAAATGGGACGAGACAGAAGTCATATAGAATTATTGAAAGAATGTAGAGGGTATATTAAGTCAGATAAGAAAAAAGGCCAAAAGGTGTCAGAAAAATAGAAAGAGTAAAATAGAGAAATCAGAAAGAAGTTTAAAAGAGGAAATATATATAAGATCGGAGATATAGGAAGAAAGAGTAAGAAAGTTGAAAAAGGAAGGATCCGAAAGAAGACAGACAAAAAAGATATGAGACAGAAATATTGAATGAGAGAAAGGGAAAATATAGAAAGAAAGATGGGAGGGATGTCTTCAAAATTTCAATCAATTTTCACCTTCTTTTGAATGTGAACATTTAATGTTATGCAAAATTCTATATTATAAACTTGAAAAGAAAGAAAGAAAGAAAGAACTAACGGAACAAAGAAAGAAAGAAAGAAAGAAAGAAAGAAAGAAAGAACTAACGGAACAAAGAAAGAAAGAAAGAAAGAAAGAAAGAAAGAAAGAACTAACGGAACAAAGAAAAAAAGAAAGAGAGAAAGAACTCACGGAACAAAGAAAGAAAGAAAGAAAGAAAGAAAGAAAGAAAGAAAGAGAACAAAAGACATTTTAAAGACAGAAAAATGACAGAATGGTTAAAGACATATGATCATGGAAGGAAAACTAAAAGAAGTCCGGTTAAAAGGAAGGAAGGAAGGAAGGAAGGAAGGAATAATTAAAGAAAGAAATCAACGAAACGAACGAAAGAAAAATGACTCTGATAGTAAAAATATTGACAAAAGAGAGAAAGATTTAAAAAGGAAATAACAGGAAAGAAAAAATAAGAAAGAAAAAAAAAGAAAGAAAAAATCGAAAAGAGAAAATGAATAAAAAACGAAATCAGAAATATTTCAGAAAGAAAGAAAGAAAGAAAGAGAGAGAGAGAAATAAAGAAAAGAAATTAAGAAGAAAGAAAGAAGGAAAAAGAAAAAGAAAGAAAGAAAAGAAATAAAAAGAAATCACAAAGAAAGAAAGAGAGAAAGAAAGAAAGAAGCAAAAAAGAAATCAAAGAGAGAGAGAGAGAAAGAAAATAAATCAAAAAGAAAGAAAGAAAGAAATAGAGAAAGAAAGACGACAAGGAAATTAGAATGATTGAAAAAAGATAAATGTAATGAAAAAGGAAATATTACGTAGAAAAACGAAAAGAAATCGGGAAGAAAGAAAGAAATTATAAAAAATACGGCAAGAAATAAAAAAAAGAATTAAATAAGAAAAAATCACAAAGAAAGGATAGAAAAATAAATAAAACGGCAAAAAATCAAAAAGATAGAAAGAATGAAAGAAAGAAAGAAAGACGAAAAGGAAATTAGACAGAAATGTATTTAAAAAAAAAAAAACAGGCAGATTAAAGAGGAAATATCACAAAAGAAAGACAAAATGAAATCCAGTAGAAAGAAAGAAAAGAAAGTAAGAATCATAATGCACATTTTGAACAAGGCATGATAAAAAAAGAAAACAAAATTGTTATTTGAATTCCGATATGACTTTATATCTGCTTTAGTATTAAATAATAAAAAAAAAATCACTTCTCTACATTAATTCCTATCCGTCCATAAACCCATCTGCATGAAACTATCCTCGAGTTTGAAAGTTCAACATTCTTTCACGCATCTATACAGGGATAACGCTGGAAACGTCGTCCGTCATATTGATGGGTCAGCCTAAAAATCGAACTGTTATTCAATTTAGCTGATGAATGAAACACCCCTCTATTGAGCCTTTCTTTCACTCTTTCTGTGGTCGTCATGTCTTCCAGACATTTAACGTAGCTTAAGACCACAATCCATTTTACTCAGCTGTCACAGCGAATTTGATGGACTACTGCTTTCGGCAAATATCTTCGGCAATAATTTTGCAGCAAATGCGTTTTGTCTTCTGTGTTAAAAGCATTTCTGAAATCCAGTGTCTTGGGACTTTTTTATTTTTTTTATCTTTATCCATTTTTATTTTTGTTTGCTTGCCACCATTGCAAGTTTTCGGTTTAGCCGGAAGAATTTCTGCGCATGTCCGGAATGAAGTTAAAGTATCTGATGCCATCCATCCCGTTCGTTATCTCTTTCGATCGTGTTTGTTTTTGATCGCATATTGTTGTGGATAGGCGAAATTTAGTATTCTTTGGGGATGTTTTTAGATCTTTGTTTTTGTGAAATCATGTATAGCACTTGGCGCTTTGGTCTTGTCATGTATATTTAATTCGTTTTTATCCAAGAGAATGCTGTACAGAATTTACAACTGGTTAAAACGTGAGATATGATGAGTAGGGAAGAAAACGCTGAAAAAATAAGTTGATGAGAAAAAGATGCTTTGAATGTAGCCAATGAAAGCAAGACAGGTAGAAGGAAATACACCAAAAAGAACAAAAAAAAAAAGAAGGAAAAATGTAAACATAGAAAAATAAGTGGTCTGTCTGAAATAATGTCCAGATAATGTTAATTGTTCCAGAACCGGTTATTCAGCCATGATGCAACTTGACATCCAATCTGAAGGGAACGGCAGTGTTCATGAGTGGTTGAGTGACGTGGTATACCATCTGATTCTTATGCAAACAATGATTATTGCTGCGGTATCATAAACAACTCATCGGATGTACAAAGAACCACTTCCCTGTCAAGCTCATGCCGGTTAAAATCATAATATATACTGTGTGATGCATACTGTTATGAATTCGCAACATTTACAGGTATGAACCCCAGGTTAAAAAAAAATGAACAAAAAAAAAAAAAGAAAGAAAAAAAGTTCGCTCAGATAGAAACACACGAACAGTTAGCGGTGAACAACAAACACAAGATTAACATTTCTAAATAAATTTTATATAAATATTAAAAAATACGGGAAAAGTATGGAATGACAGACGTACAATTAATAAAAGAACCCTTAACTTATATTGGATGTCAGTTCAAAGTTTTGTGTTTCAGGAATTTGGAGTTCGAATGTTCGTAATGACAAGGTTACTGCAAAATTTTCACAGAAATTAGTCGTTTCTTCTTCCATAATGGGAAGTATAGAATTCGGGGATAATGATCGTGTTCCGTTTCCTCTTGGTTAATTGGATTGCATCCGAGATGAATGTACGATGATTTCTTTGTATTTTTTTGGGTATGATCTTTCTTTATCCTTTACACATTAAGTAGTCAAACAGACTTAAGATCTCCAGGATGAAATTTACTTATTCACCACACAAGTAATGGAATACGTTTGCGGGTGCATTTCTCATCCCTTATAATCGTATGATGAGAGTCTATTTTTCTCGCGGACTGTTGTCGTCGGAGGTAATCGGGAAACTAAAATTACAATACCAAAATCCCACTTGGTCGTGTATGTCAGGTGAGTGTAGTTGATCGATTCCTACTCCCTTTCTTAGGAGGTGATTCTGTTTGTTGTCAAGCAATCCCAACTTCCACCATTTCTTATGTCATTCTGTTTGTTGTCAAGCGACGAATTTTTTTCTTGGTCTTGGACAAGACTCGGCCTAGATAGGTAATAAAAAATGGGAGGAGGTGATAAAGAAACACAAAGAAAGATTTTCTCTCATTAAATTGATTATACGTTTGATTTAAGATTTTGAGTCATTCACACTACCCACACAATTACTACTGGTGTAAGATCATAAAAAAACACATCGGTTGTACACATAATCACTTCACTGTAAAGTTCATGCTTTGTTGAGTGAGCTTGTGTACCGTGTGATTCCTACGTACACAATGTCTACTGGTGCAAGATCCTGAAGAACACATCAGTTCTACACAGAATCACTTCTCGGCAAATTCAGACCTTCACCCCAAACTAAAATTACCGTTGGTAAAATGCTTTGTTAATTTTTGCCCAAATTCACTTGAGAAGAACAATAATCCATCTCTTCTTCTCTTCTGACTATGGGTTAAACAGTAAGGTAGTCCTTACTCTAACCTCGCTTGCTAATAATATAAGAGAAGGATAATACTGAATTAAAAAACGTGGTGAAGGCAACTGGTATTCACAACGTTATCTTTTCTGTGAAGGAATGACAGTATAAAGATAAAGAACAAAAATGAAACCTGTGGAGTGTCAAGACCGCATATGACCTGAAGGAACAGGGCATTAAAAACATAATTTAACGCTAGTTGACAACTGGTTGTGACTGTGAATAGTTGCGGGTATAATAATGTAAAACATCAGATGGTGTACATGAAACTAAGTTACTATTATCCGAAGACAAACTTCCACAGAAATTGCGGCCTAGCGTCAAATCCTGTTGAAATCTCCAGAAAAATTAAGCAGGGTTGTGCCCGGTCAATGTTTAGATGTGCGACCGTAAGGTTAAATCAGATAGTGCAAGCAACTTCCTGCAATCTGAAATATATTTCAGTTGTAAATAACCCACCAAATGTTAATAAGCCGTAACATAAGAAATCAATCATTCATCGCTGGATAATTGACTGGCAGAACACTTAAAAAAAAAAAAAAATGAAGTTATGAAAATTAAATAAATACACAAAAGGTGAAGTAATACAAATGGTTATTATCTCCCTTTGGTAGAGATGAAGTCGCGTGGGTCACGCCACGTCCGCTTAGGGTCATCACTTCACAAAGTGATGAAATTAGTCAGGTTCCAGGAGTCAAACCGAGCAGAGTTTTTTTAGCTTGATTCTTTACCGGAGAGGCGTTCGGTTAGCAAGATCGAATTTACTGTATTTAAACTTCAATCTTTCATGAATCTCCCAGGAACATTCATATCTGCTTATGGCGTATCAAATGTAAACAAATGCTCCTCTGATGTCAAATCTGTAAAGGCACGTCAAGCTAAATGACGGTTCTGTATAGGATACAGGTTCGAATCCTGTCGGAGGTAGAATATTTTCTATGAAATTTTCTCGGATATTCAGGCCGGTAAATGTTGTTTAATAGTGTTTATTATAAACAGAGCATTTACTTCAATATTTGTATCTATAAAAAATGTATAGACAGAAAAATGTCTTAAAATAATAGTCGGACTTTGCCCATTTCATATATATATATATATATATATATATATATATATATATATATATGATCGACTCTCCTGTCGAGATTCGGCGTATGAGGGTCAAGCAGATCAGTTTCAGAAACCGACAGCCCAACAACAGCACATGGGATTTGATTATAGTGGTGAAGGCCTCGCGCAGGACCATCCACACCTTTTGAAGGATGAATACAGAGACTTGGTGCACCGAATGCCACAAGTCTCCCAAATGACCCTCCGCAGGTTTTGAATTCAGAGTTGTCCTTCTCCTAGACCAGTTGCCATCCAAGGCTATAGATACCAGTCTGTCCTGCTATTTTACCCATAGCTGGAGGGAGAGGAAGAGGATTTATAACTTCCCCAAGGGTATTAGCACGTAAGTGAATGTAATGGATTCGTCTCGAATATATATATATATATATATATATATATTTTATATATATATTCATTCCTAACATTTTTTTAGTGGATATGCATATTTGAGTTGATTTGTTTTTTTTGTTTTATTTATTTATTTTTTTTTAAACTGTATTTATTTATTTATGCTTATTTCTGAAAAAAATAATAGAGATTCGAACCTGATTTCCGTTTTCCAGGAGGGAACCAGAGTCTGACCTTGCGTGATTTTACCACTCGGCTACAAAGCAATATTTCGTTTCGCTTTGAAGTTGCACTCACTCATTCAGTGATAGAGACAGAGACACACACACACACACACACACACACAGAGAGAGAGAGAGAGAGAGAGAGAGAGAGTGCATAGACTGATAGAGAGAAAGAGATTTGGGAAACTGGTTTGAACCGAGAACTTTTTCCTCATCCCCTCGGAAATACATCCGCTACTTACTATTTCCCAAAATTCCGTGTTGAGAGAGAAAAAAAAAAACAAAAAAAAAAACAGATACCGCTGAAATATGCTGATGCTGAAATATGTGGCTATCAAATTAACTGATTTAACTCAGCGCAAAATTCATTTGCGTCGCTTCATTTACTACCATTTAAGATCAGAAGCATCCATTAAATGAAAGAAAAAAGAAAAAGAAAAAAGAATAAAAAAGCCCTTTTAACTGGGTGTGGTGGTTCGTGGTTCATAAATTAAAAATTAATTAGTAATGAACTTGATCCTCTCTCTCGAATATGAAGTAAAAAAAAAAAACACAACATCAAAGAATCAATTAAAATTATACCTTGCTACGTGGCAAATTTCGTCCAGTAAATTAAATCTTTGAATATTTTCTAAGATTTCGACTTTGTATATGGTTCTACTTAATTTTTCCGGTAATTTCATCAGCATGTAGTACGGATGTTGCTGCAACCTTTTCTGAGAAATACCTATTGTGAGTCATTGGGTGGTTAGTAGTTAAGGGCGTTACCCCCAAAATCGGCCTTATACATCTCTCTTTCTCTCTTTCTCTCTCGCATTTCATATATAAAGTGAGTTTCAAAAGTGCTTTTACAAACTTTAAGGGCGAACTCCACACAACAAAACAAGGACAAAAATCTATATAAACGTCTTATTTAATATTTCCTCGCAAGATTAATGCTCGACAAATGTACATATAAGTTTTAGATTAAAATAAAATTCTTTTCTTTTTTCATTCAAAATACTCAATTTTAGGAATACGTTTTCACAACATCGCCCACGTGACGCCGACGTGATCATATTGAAAGGGAACGCTGATCTTGAAAAATTTCAGTTATCTGTTTTGATTAGTCTTACTCTTATGTCCATCGTTTTTTCATGTTGAATTAAATATAGTCTAATGTTAATTATGTTTTATGAATATGTCCTGAAGATGGTCTACTAGACCGAAACGTCCGACGTTGACATTATATTAACATTAAAACTGCATAATTGCATAGTAGGATTTTTGTTTGTTTTTTCCGTATATTTTTCTTTATAAACATATTTCCTACGTTTCTGATTTTTATTAAATTTAAACTTTCCGGTAGACGGTGTTAAATGTACAATTCAAAAATACTTTGACAAATTTTGGGACTCGATTCCTGAAATTACCGTAAAATGACAAGGTAGGTTACAAAAATATGTTTATTTTTGTCGTATAAGGCCCTTTGTCCACTTCCAACAACCTTTTTAGTTGTCCCCGTTTCAAACTTCACGAATATAAAATAAATGGTCGAAACTTACATATGAGCAGAATAAAGTTTCACTCGAAGCTTATGTGGCACCATGCATCCAGGCGATTTGAAAGATATATTTATAGATATATGATTTGCTTTTTTACGGTTTATCAACCATTTGAGGATTATTTAAGGCCGAAATGTATTTTAGGTTTTAAGAATAATTCTTTCTTTTTGCAAGTGGATTGTGGCGCCATGCATCCAGGCGATTTGAAAGAAAGAAAAAGAAGAAAAAGAAAAAGAAAATGGTTATTTTGGATAAGTGTCAAATGTCGAAAGGAGTTTCATTACAATGACAATGAGATTGAGTGGATAGGGAGGTGTTATCTAAACTATTCGCCACCTGCGAACAAGCATTGACCGATTTCCACTGTCCGCGCGAATGGAATTGTGTTATCAAGAGATGTCACCAAAGAAAGTCCACTTGAAAACGTTAGATTTTGATAATTGACAAAACACAGGTGTAGCTTAGAGCCTTAGCTGGGTATGGAAAATTAAAATCCCACACAAGTAGTTTCACTGGTTAAGTTTTTTTTCGACAAAACAGACTTTTGCCCTGCGATAATAAAATTTTGTTCTCAGACACATGAACCGAAGGAAAATGAAATATTTTTATTTCTGCTTTGGAGACGCCAGATTGGCTGAGAACTTGGAGAAAATTCCTTTCTTAGACAATGTCGGAAAATCCAGCCGTCTGATGCATTACCGACAAACTGCTTGACAAACGCCACGTGTTGAACAAAGAGTTGTTACATTATCCGTTCATGATAACGGCGATTTGAAAGAAAGAAAAAAAAAAAAAGAGGAGAGATCATTAATTTTTTTTAGTTAAGCAAGGTATATTTCTTTTCCAAAACAAAGCCACGGGTTGTTCACGCCCGACTAAGACGTCATTGGCCAAGTGGTGATCACATGACGCACGAAGGAGGAGGAAAGATACCCGACCAAGACCTCATTGGCCGAGAGTGGTCACGTGACGCACGAAGAAAACTGTCGACGCCCCCATCCAGAGTGTAAGTATGAGAAGCCGCTACGAAGAAGTGGGGAGGGCAGTTCACGCCCCTCAGAAGCATGGTGAGAAAGTGGGAGTGAGAAAAAAGTTACCAAAAATGGAAAAGAGTGGAAAATCCCTAACTAGAAATAAAAGAGGTGGATATGTATTTAGAATTATCGAGGAACCCCCGACGCCAACAGACCCACCCCGGTTTTGGTCGGCGTCAATAAAAACGAAGCCCCACCAGACAGAAATCAGTTCAGACGGACCCAGGCGGACAGAGAAGAGTTCGTTCGACCCTGGCGGGCAGAAGACAGTTAATTCAGCCCCGGACGGCAGAGATGAGTGCCCAATGTTGAAGCCGCCTCAAGATAGCTAACCAAGATTCACGCAAAATTTTGGACTCTTCTTCAACCAAGAACAATTAGTTTGAAGAGCGACTTAGAACCAGACCACAGAAATATGTTTTTCGACTTTCGTCCAAAGACACACCGAAACACAAATTTCTTAGAGAGCAGACTACTTGAAGCGTTAAAACTTGCCTAGCGAAAGCGACGTGCCACAATCCACAGAACGGGTCGGGAGGTAGATGCAGTCCTATGTATCGAACAACTAGACATAAAAAGTTTGTTACCTTTTCCTTTGATACTTTGAACTTTTTGAGTTTTCATTTTCTTTTCTTTTATGCATATTTGTGTGTTATCACCCCCGTTGAACTCAATTTGCATTACGGCCTCAACCCCTGTTTGATCTCGTTTGTCTAAGATCAATTCACAACGTGGGTAGGCAGACTGGAGATCAGTGCAGTTACCTTGGTAACCAGGCGTTGGAAGCAGGTTGGGAACGGCGAGACTGATATCAAATCTAACCAGATTCTTAACCGAATCACCAAAGGGTTAGAACGTTACGTTTAGAGCAGCGACACCCGGACGGAGCAGCGTGGAGCGAACAGCTGGCGCCGCGGCGAAGACGTCACAATTGGTGCTGTTTAGGGACGTCACATCTGGTGTCGTGACCGGTATAGGACCCTGGAACGACCACGTCACAACTGGCGCCGTGGTAGATCAGGATAGAACGTCACAGTTGGCGCTGCGACCGGGGAACGACGTCACACTTAAACGTTGATTTGTTTTTCATGAGCGAACGAAAGACATGATTGCATTGAAATTTGTGTTTGAAATTCTGGCTGTTAAGGAGGCACGCGATATTTCCTCAGTTGCAGGAATTACGGAATTCTGAAGATTAGACCACACAATATGTCACCGGATGATGTGAATGTATTCAATTCTCTATTATTATACACATGAGTAGATCTCTTCAAATTATCGATAAACCTCCTCAACATTTCTTTTGTGCTTCTATCTCAGTCGGTTCATATCTATCTATCTATCTATCTATCTATCTATCTATCTATCTATCTATCTATCTATTGTAGCCTGTTCATTATCTATCTCTATCTATCTATCTATCTATCTATCTATCTATCTATCTATTGTAGCCTGTTCATTATCTATCTATCTATCTATCTATCTATCTATCTATATAATGTTATTTTTCGCTATATTTCTTTTTAGACAGTGTGTCGTTATATCTGTCGATCTGTATTTCTTCCTTAGACTATCTATCTATCACTCTCTCTCTCTCGATCTATCTATCTATCTATCTATCTATCTATCTATCTATCTATCTATCTATATATATATATATATATATATATATATATATTTCTTTCTAAAGCCATGTATTTCTTTATAAGTCTATATCTCTAGCTTTCTTTCTCTCTCCCTATTTATCTATCTATATCTATCTAACTATTTATCTATCTCTTTAAAAGCCTATCTATCGATGTACTTCTTATTGAATGAATCTATCTATCTATCTATCTATCTATCTATCTATCTATCTATCTGTCAGTTTGTCAGTTTGTCTGTCTGTATTTCTTTCTAAAGCTATGTATTTCTTTATGAGTCTATATCCTTAGCTTTCTCTCTCTTTTATTCTCTCTCTCTCTCTCTCTCTCTCTCTCTATCTATCTATCTATCTATCTATCTATCTATCTGTATTTCTTTCTAATGACGATCTATTTATCTAGATATCTATCTATATTTTTCTCAGACTATCTATCTGTATCGGATTCTAAGCTTTATAAAGTTCTTAAATTCACTGATTTATTAAAAAAGTAGAAACATTCATGAATATATTTCTTCCACCAAATTATTTCTCAGGAAGAATTCTAGAATCTCTAAGTGCCTAACGAATTCTTCAATAAAAAAAGGAAAAAAAGGAATAAAGTAAAAAGTAAAATTAAAAGGAATAAATTCAAATAAACAGAGAGTGATTGACTGAAATATTTCACCCAAGTTTGAACACCGAACGCAGACCGAACAACATATCCTCCATCAAAATGTTTATGGTTACCACATGAACTAAAGTCAGAATCACTGTCTTTTCGCAAATATGGCTGGCAGGAAATGTTGTAATAACCTAAGCGTTGTTTAACTGGTGAAAATAAATCATAGTAAATAATATTCAACTTTCTTTGATGTAGCCTTGCCAATTATTATTCATTTTTGTCTAGTATTCCTTTTATCTTATTTCTATTGCTTTTACATGTTGTTGTAATAACCTTAAGTTGCCTGAATTTCTTTGATGTAGTGTTGTTAGCTGTTATTAATTTTTGACTAGGATTTCTTTCATTTCATAACTCTTGATCGTTTAACCCTTGTCGTAATATGATGGTAATAAATTGAAACAGTCGTAAGTTATCTAATTATTTCGATAAAGAATTCTTGGTTACGGTTCATTTTTATTAGTATTTCCTACCTTATTTCTCTTGTTTTTACACCATGTGGCAATCGACTTAAGGTATTTAAATTTTTAACATGAAATGTATCATTTTCTTTTTAGTTTTTATATTTGTTCTTTTTATCTTCCGTTCCCGGTCTTTCTTTCTTTCTTACTTTCTTTCTTTCTTCCTTTCTTTCTTTCTTTCTTTCACTCTTACTTTCTTTCTTTCATTCGTTCTTTCTTTCTTTCTTTCTTTCTTTCTTTCTTTGTTTTTTTCTTTCTTTCTTTCTTTCTTTCTTTCTTTCTTTCTTTCTTTCTTTCTTTCTTTCTGTCTGTCTTTCTTTCTTTCTTTCTTTCCGTCTTTCTTTCAGTCTTTCTTTCTTTCTTTCTGTGTTTCTTTCTTACTTTTTTCTTTCTGTGTTTCTTTCTTACCTTCTTTCTTTCTTTCTTTCTTTCTGTTTTTCTTTCTTTCTGTCTTTCTTTCTTTTTTTTTTTCTTTCTTTCTTTCTTTCTTTCTTTCTCAATCATTTATTTAGCGGGTTATTTAGAAGTATTATTATTCAATTTTGAGTCTTTAATTCATTTTATTTCTCTTGCTTTTACTACTAGTCGGAAGTCTAGTTGCATGAATTGATTAGATGATTTTGATCAATTATTAATCATTTTTGACTACTTTTTATTTTGCCTTATTTCTCTTGCCTTTACACATAATATCAATTTCGGTTTATATTTCTGAAATGAGGTATTGTAACTATTTACACTATATACATTGTTCGGACTGATATCCTTATCTTTTTTGTCATATTCGGTTGTTGTACACTTTTCAGGTGATTGGAAATCTATACCTTTGTTTCGTACACCGGGGTAGAGAGTGTCACGTGCCATGCCTCTTCCGGATGTCTCAATTTCAGTTCCAGTTTTATGGAGGGAAAAGAAAGATCCCCCCACTGTGGGTTGAAGTTGAAATAATAGACAGAGAACATTAAGGAATCAGGGCATATCACAAAAGTCTCCTTTGCCGGTCAAGCACAGGCAATAGCAACCAGTAATACAGAGGGCTACAGAAAAAAAAAAAAAAAACAATTATAAGATAAAATTGTAATATGAGCTCTCATAAAAAAAAACGGCTATTGAGACATCAGGCTTATAAGTTCCAAAAATTCATTCTCTGGTAGCCTAGCGGATAAGAGCGTTAGTTAAAGTAATCCAGTTGTGAGTTCAATACCTGTCCTCAGCTGAGATGAATAACACTTTTGAGGGTTTAGATAAGAGGAACTGAAATTTGAGTTCTACCAAAGAGAATTTTGGATCTTCTCGGTGATGAGGAAAATTTGCTGGCTTTGTTTTAGAAATAATGGAATTTTCCAAGCCTGTTTTTCTTCATCCCTACTTGGGCTGTTACGGCCAGGTCTCGTGACGGTCCATCTACCAGGGAGTGTTTTTAGTGGAGATCACAGAAAGATGATTCGGGGAATTGCGACGGAGAAAGAAAAAAAAACACACACAGAAATTATGGTGACAGAAATAATAATAATAGTAATATTAACAGAGGGATATTTGCTTAGTTGATACTTAAGTGTGTAATTCACATGCATGAATCGTTTCAAATATATGATCTGCCTTCAAGAAAATTACCGATCCAATGTCCACAATCTATTTAGAGTATTTCTGAATTTTAAATTTTATGTTAGTATGTTTCTTTGTTTAGCGGCATATCAAACTGCTTTGATCGCGAATCTCGTGATCCATCAGGTTAGTAGGGGCGCCACATGTAATGCATCCGCAGTAGAAGTGGTGTTTCTTGAACAAGATGGCCTAACGTGAGACCAACCATTTCCAGGCCGGTTTGAATTCAGATTTATCTTTCTCCTAGACCGGTTGCTAACCAAAGCTATAGAACCTAATATGTCCAGCTATTTTACCCCGCCGGGGCAGGGAAAGAAGAAGATTCATACCTTTATCGTATGTGAATGTAATAGAATCGGTTCGAATTAGAAGTTGGCTCTACGATTCCTCAATCCGAGCCGCTATACATTACTCATTTGTGCCTCTTATATCAACTCTTTATGGATCATTTACTGCCGAAATTTAATTTTCTTGGGAGCATTAATAATTACTTTTGCAAAAATATTTTTCTTGTAATTTTTTTTTTTTTTATAAATAGGTGTTGTTGGTAATTATATTTACTATGAAAATGTATTGCTTTTTTTTTTGGGAAATGTATTGCTTTTATTTTTACTATAAAAATATTTTCATACTTTCAATGTGTTTTGACCGCAGTTTCCGACCTGGAAACAACATTAAATAAAACACCTTGCTGCCGGATGTAGTTTCTCGTCATACCCAGGACACTCAAACTGTTTACAGATAGTGATAGTTTTAATGTATATTTTAATGTAGAAAAATACGTAGATCACATAATTTAGTGATGCGTTTTTATAGTTTAAATATATATATATATATATATATATATATATATATATATATATATATTTTCAGGAATGCGACTTTGTTATCAGACTGATGCGGTTTTATTCATGTCCTGATTTTACATATATATATATATATATATATATATATATATATATATATATAATGCGCGTGTATATATTATATATATATATATTACAATAAACGTGCAATCAATTTACAAATACATGAATTATTCAACAAAACTTAAATAATGATTTAAATGGCAAGACATCCATCTGCAAACGATTCAAATAGTACACAAAAACCTGTTATGCATTTGATCCTTGTTTATATAAATTTCTGCCGTATTAGTTGTTATTTTTACTACAAGCTTTCGTCTGTTCCTACAGACATCGTCAATATAATAGATGTTGTTCTTTTTTTCTCTTAGTAATAAGAGGACATCGAAAATATATGTATTGTATCCGAAATGCTTTAAAAAATGAGTTATTGGTTTTTAACGCGCCAAAGCAACGCTGAGTTTGATTTTGAATTTTTTAAAATGTCTGCGTCTATATAAATATGGTAATGAACAAATGTTTTTACTTTCAAATTTTTTTACTGTAAAGTATATATATATTGTTCAATATATAATGTCGCATTATATAAAAGTATATATAAACGTATATAAATACATGAATTATTCATATATTATATTTATATATATATCTTGTCTATTCAAATATATAAAAACCTATATATATATTTATATATTTCTGCCGTATATTTTTACTATTCTGTTCCTACAGACATCGTCAGGTATATAATAGATGTTGAAATATGTTATTGTATCCGAAATGCTATTAAAAATGAGTTATTGGTTTTGAACGCGCCAAAGCAACGCTGAGTTTGATTTTGAATTTTTTAAAATTTTTTAATTTCGATACAATATTATATTTTCGATGTCCTCTCATGTCCTGATTTTAAAATATTTAAAATATATAAATTTATATATATAACTATATAACGGATTTAGAGGTTTTTGTGTATATATATGGATATTTAAATATAACCTATTAGTATATATATATATATATATATATATATATATATATATATACATATAGTATATATATATATATATACACACAGTGTGATGGATAAATTATCGTCTATATTGGTAAAAAAAGAAATGAAAAAATATTCACATCTCATTTTAACAGATATATTTACCAAAATTACCCAAAATATCTTGAAATCTTAAAGACAAAATATATGCAATAAAATCTCCAATGGTTTTGACCATGGCCTCCAGACGACTTCGAAATCTACTGCAAAGATCTCCTTGTTTAAGTTGGTTAATACTGCCATAATACAAGGAGTTTTGTTGGTAACTCTATCAACTGCGCTACACACATAATAATCCAGTTGTTTGGAGACTGAGGAGTTAGGTAGCCAGATGTAAGGGGTGTTGTGGTCGTAGAAATTATCTGACAGCTATGACTGTGTTCTCCTGCTTGTATAGCATGGTGCAGAGTTCTGTTACCAGACATAGTGTCTTCCAGTAGCCACCCTCTTCTCCCAGGGCTGCTCTACATCCTCAAGGCACGCTGTTGAGTTTGAGGCCCTCATCAATAAATTCAGTTTTTTTCTTATCGGAACGATCAAAATGAGTTTTCAGAACTGCTGTAACTTCGTAATCACCATTAGACTCATCCAACTCTTTACGAATCATTTGAACTGTCCTCAGATTGAGGCTCAAACACTCTGAAATGTTCGTATTGGAACTTCCGGCGCGAATGCCGTTTCCATATTTCTGGCGGAGTGAATTGAGTCATATTTTCTCCCAGGCGATACCCAGCTGACCCTACTGTAATGTTCAGTCAACGCAATCAAAAACAAACAACGCGGATACATGAAATTACAAATATAAAATGCGACAATTTACCCGTTGCACCCTGCGTGTGTGTGTGTGTATATATATATATATATATATATATATATATATATATATATGTAGAGAGAGAGAGAGAGAGAGAGAGTTTTACACAAATATCTATCTGTCTCTCTCTTCCTCTCCACATATATATGTATATGTGTGTGTGTGTGTGTATGTAATTTGCTAATGTACCTATATATAAGCATTAAAATGCAATCGTATGATCAGAACGAGTAACCAAGTAAGTAATTTCAACAGCCTCTTGCAAATTTACCACCAGTTTTTGTTCTAGAGTAGAGTTATCCGCCCCTGAGAGCAGCCAAACCTCCTTTTCTCTTCCACCAGTCTCCATCTTTCTCGCAATAACAAACAAGGCATTATGAAACATCGGGAAAAGATCAAAGCTAGCATTTCCATATTGCAATTAATGGTCGAATGGTATTAACAAGCTGTTTTCTTGGGCGTTGATTGGTACATTAACACAGGCGGAAAATGACATCAAAGGAGGTTGATGATGGTAGTGGTGACGATGGCAGTTACGGCTGCCATTTCTAACCAACTCCAGAATCCTTTCTACCCACTCCACGTCATAATTAACAGTGTGGGTTTTTTTTGTGCATGAATAGGTGTTACGAGTGAAAGGTAAGTCAAGTTAATAAGGTAAAGAAAGAGAACTGTATATCAGAGAGAGGGAGAGAGAGAGAGAGAGAGAGAGAGAGAGAGAGAGAGAATGAGAGTAAATCTAAAGAGTGTGGAAAATTACGAAATAGAATAGAGAGTGGAAAGAGATGAAACAAATGAAAAATGAGATGAAGAAGAAAAGATAGAGATGAATTGAAGGAGAAATAGGAGAAAAAAGCGATTTGTGATAGAGAGAAGATATATAAATAAAAAAAGCGAGAAACGAAAAAGAAAGACGAAAAAGAAGGAGCTTTCTTAATATCATAAACAGAATTGAATATCGATCGAGTGGGAAACAAAAAAACAAAAAGAACAGGGTGGAGGAGGAAGAAGACCGAGGAGAAAAAAAGATGATGATGATGATGATGATGATGATGATGATGATGATGATGATGATGATGAGCAGGAGGAGGAGGAGGAGGAGGAGGAAGAAGAAGAGGAAATTGAAGCGGTGTATGAAGCAAAGAAGAAAAAGTGAAAGAGGAAGAGGAGGAAGAAAATTAAGAAAATGATGGACGATGAGGAAGAGAGAAGCTAT